GTAACCAGGGTTAGTGTCTCCCCGAGACACTTACTTGTCGTGGTGTGTGCAGGTGCGTAACCATGGCTAGAGTCCAACTTACTGGTAGATGTAATTCCACACACTGATGGCAGGTGCCACGGTTGCCAGCGTCACTTGTAGTGGTTGACCTCCTTATTTGCCGTAGTTGCCCTCCTTATAAGTTGTGGTTGTTGTTCTCAGACTTGCCAACCCTTACGATTTTTATTGTATTCCTTACTAATTCCAAGATGTTTTTACGAATGTACGATCAAACTGAAAAACTTACGATTTCTTACGACTTGAAAATTAATGTGTTTTTTACATTGTGAGCCGAGAAATATCTGGCGATTGTGGGCGCAGCCATATTGGATCACGCGTTCACGTTTTTCTCGCGTGATCTAGAGTTCTAGAGTTCTAGAGTTAGTTGGAGAGTTCTAGAGTTAGTTGGAGAGTTCTAGAGTTCTAGAGTTCTAGAGTTAGTTGGAGAGTTCTAGAGTTCTAGAGTTTATCGCGTTCTAGAGTTAGTCCCATCATTCATTGCACGCATAACATACAAACAAAATGGCCGCCTGCTGCAAGAAAAGAAAAGCCTTCTGTGGTTTCTCTCCTTACTTGTCGTGGTTGCCTTTCTTACTTTCTTCCAATGGTTGGAAGTGCTCGTCTCGGGTAGACAGATGAGGTCACTGCCCCCAAGAACCCAAGCCGAACTTGTATAGCAGCCGTATCAGAGGGGGGCATGGCGATCTCTCTCGCACAGACGGGGAAGGGGGGCCTACGGCAGGGCTAATTCGCAGCAAAATGCATAGATATTAGATATATACCTACTGTGAGCTCGTCTATGTTGCAAAAATTCACTACAACTCATTTGTATTGTCATCGTTAGCGTCATTAACGGGCCACGTGTTAACGAGCCACGTGTTAACGAGCCACGTGTTAACGAGCCACGTGTTAACGATGTCGTTGTCGTCCGCAGGCGAGGGGAGAGATCGCGGTGAGGGAGGAGTTTCCGGACGCCATCATCATGCGGCCGGCGGACATGTACGGACCGGAGGACCGCTTCCTGCGATACTTAATCGGCTCCTGTAGGTGGCGCCACGGTCCACGCCCGCACCCCTCTCCGGGATTAATGTCAATTATATAGACGATGAATTCTGCCAGAAATATGAAGTTCTGTTCGAGTTATTTTCGAAGGGTCAGACCGTGTGTAAGACTTGTCTGAAAGTTCTGCTCGGGATCTGGCAGTTTATTATTTTAGTTATAATATGCATGTTAAGGGTATTATAATTGATTAAGACAAACACTTGAGAAAGTCATTGTTTCCTCTTTGTTGTGCACCTGTGCCAGAATGTAACCCAATATTTTCGAGATGGAGAGCATTTTATCAGCACACATGCTGTAGTTATTGTCAGGAAGTTCAATACTGGAGAAGGTATGACAAACTGTTTCGTAGCGCAGTCAAGGTTTAAAAACCTCGATTTAACCACGCAGTTTCATCCTGTCACTGCACTAAAACGCTTGATTCATGTTTCACGATTGGTGCTTTCAGGGCGACGCAGCGGTAAGCTGGTGCCAATGTGGAAGAAAGGCGAACAGACCGTCAAGCAACCGATTTTCGTAAGTCAAGTCTTTGCGCGGTCATCACGCGCCGACGACGCGTACGTTGTGGCGTTGCAGTGTGAACACGGCTAGAGCTGTTAGCAGTAGTCCGGTGTCAACTACTGTCAATTAACATACGTTGTTCATCTCGTATTTAAGTTCACAGGGCTTCGTTTAACGACTTACCGCTCAACGAATGCAAAAATTTAGATTTAGTAAATTCTATATCCTAGAAAGTATAGTATCAGTCAAAGAAAAAATTCTGTTGCATATTAGTAAAAAAAGAGAGAAGCTAACAATGTTATCTCCGCTACCACTTTTGTAGTTTGTCATCCACTATCTCTCATTGAACGACACAGTTATGTACTGTCAAAGCTCGTGTGTGACTCCACGAGCCTCCTATGCTAGCGTAGTATAAGCACTGCGATATAACGATCTGCTTTAACCGATGCTTCGCTTACACAAACCTCGGGAGTGTATCTCGTTCATGAAGTGAAGTTTGATGATAGTAGATGAAAACAAACGACATTTGAGAATGGAGATGGATTTTTTGTAGGTTGGCGATGTTGCAAAGGGCATCTGCAATGCCATCTATGATCCCTCTGCCGTGGGAAAGACCTTCCAGTGTGTCGGGTGAGCGTAGGAAACATAATCGCGCCGTATACGTTATAAACGACTCTTCAAAATGTTCAGATTAATTTTATTCTACGATAAATTCACGTAATGAACCGATTAGCAACAGTTTCCTAACCTGCGTGAACCTCTTTATTGCAGGTTGATAACATGAATTAAACGTGAAATGGCATTGTAATTTTATTCATTATCATGAAATTTCATGAACTCATTCCGAGATTCTCAAAATATGTTTTGTCCGAATTCTACGTGAATCTGCTAGAAGGTCACTTTGGTTCAATGTTTACGGTCACTAGTCCTCGTGAGATTTACTCTTTTATTATTTCTGTCTCTCAGTAAAACGTAAAGCTCAATGAAGGGTCAAGATGTCCCCCAAGGGAGTACGTGCCGGATACAGAACGTTCTGGGTAACGGTCGCGGTATAAATACCGGAACGTCCCTCGGTCAACATTATATCTGATATGGTTCAAGTGGATTAGGGATTACGGGTTCGGCGGATGCGTAAAGGGAAGTAATATAGGCGTAGGCGACTGCCCTACGACTTTTTAGTGGAGTAGGAGCATGAGGTAAACGTGTCCGGCATATTTATAGTAACCCGAGGGTGAGCGGTGTTCCGGTATATGCCCAGCCGTACCCAGGGTACGTTCTCGGCAGTATCCTCAGGAGGACATAGGACCCTGAGCTAGGTTGATCGCATCCAACCATATACACACTCCAAAATCAATAATCGACGACGCGACAAGCAATAAAAAAAAACCAGAGACGAAAAAGAAAAATAAAACACCGACATTATTCCGGACCAGATACCAGAGGGAATCAGAATGAGTTTCACTTCAGGCCTCCGTCGAATATGTGTGTCTACAGGCGATCGCATTGAATCAAAAAAGCTGGCCGGAGCCTGAAGTGATTCGTGATAAGTAAAGTCAGCCTCAAAGGAGTCACGAGGAATGGGGGCATATCAGGCGTGTCATAATCACCAGACACACACCAGTGAAAGCGCTGTGAGTGGTGTGTCGCCACCTACTCTTACAAACACACTGCGCGTTATACAAAAACGATGAAAGGGGTGAAATTATACGCACCGATATTTAAACTGACTACTGTTCACGAATTGTCCTTATGGTGTATTTGCGTAAAAAAAATAAAATTAACCCATTTCAGTTTTCCATTAATAGAATAATGATAAAGTACTACTGTGGATTAAAGGTGGTAGTCGTCCAGAATTTCTTACCAATGACTAGAGCAATAATTGCCAGTTCGTCGAAACTTAGTTGAGATAATCCAAAATTACCCCTTTCAGGACGATCATTATATATGAATCAAACCCGACTCTCTGATATGCTTACTGATGGGGCTATGTATTCCCATCACCGGAGTGCTACTGACTGCTTTAACCAACTCGAATCAAGATATCAGTAAAACAGGCAAATGGTATACATGCAGACTTTTATTCTCATCCGCAACAAAATGCTGACACGAGAATATACCTTAACACTTCTTGTGCACAATGGAAAAATGTACTTTTTATTTCCTACCTATTTACGGTGCACAGTAACACTTATCCACTTGTAACTAGGCAGACGCCGAAAGCTGATCACATCTGATAGCCTGAATGCCTGGTTACGAACAAGGCCGGTTGCATTAAAGGTTTGGTACTCATCCAGCATGACCCTCTTTCTGTGTTAACTAGTTATTTTAAGACGAAGGTCGAATTGGTTGAGAAGCGCCGACGTCCTATTCAAGCGTTTGGCTGGGAAAAGGCAGACTGGAGAGGGTGAGTGTAGGAGCAATGGTGGCCGAAGTGTCTCGCTACAGCTGTGTGCCGTGGCCCATGTCATATGTGTGTGTAGTAATATAACGTCAATTAGTGTGTGTGTATAAACACTACCCATGAAGTATAGCATGTTATGTATAAATACTGAAAGTATGACATATTAGGTGTATTAAAGTATATATATATATATATTATATAGTATATATCATATACACACACACTGACACAGCGTTAGTATGAGTATGAAGCATGTACTTATACCTGTGCTACATTTGTGTTCACGGAGTGTGACGCACGCGGTGAGCTGTCAGCGAGCTACCCCCATGACCCGCCCTTTATGAGGCGGTCAGCTGATTAGCCGCAGTGGGCGTTATAACCCTCGTGGATATCGTATATTATCCTGTATGTACTCTCAATGCACATACGCCGTCGGGTGGTACAATGTGTTTATACCTGTGTGATGTTATTTATGACTATAAATCTACAATGTATAAGATTGCAACCTCATAACCCGTTGATACTTAGTGTATGCAGGAGTGTGTCGACAGGATCAAGCGCTTTGACACCCCGACCGTCTTTATGACCACTAATATGCCGCATGCGTCTATACTGTGTATGTAGTATGTTATGATGTACTGTACAGGTATTGAATACAATTGTTTTGTAGGAGTGCTGTTGGACGGACGCGGTCGACGTCAGCGGACCGACCGTACACGAGACTGCGCGTGACTCGCTCACTGGAAGTTCGAGGACGGCGCGCCGTCCGAGA